TCTGAATACCAAGCTTCCAAGAATTCCCTCACATTTTTGGATTTAGCTTGGTCTAAGATGCCGACAGTTTCCCAGTGGAAACTATGGTTAAGTCTGTCCATGTGTTGTGAGATACATCTCCTTGGTATATATGAAAAATAGTGATCACAAGTGTAAGGCCTGATAATTATCAAGTTTTTAGTAGGCATGGAGGTGAGAGTCCAATTCTTTCCTTTTGTGGTCATGGTGAAAACCATTTTTTGAAGTCATTCCTTGTACTGGTAGAAAATATCCCACTTACACTAATGAAGAAAGGGTTTTAGTCTCATTGATCCTTCTTCATTTCCCACAATCAGCCTCTTCTTTTCTCCATTCCCTACAACTTTGCATTTTTAAAATATGTTTGTTAAATATAAAATATAAATGTCACTCTTAGTTTGGCCATAATAAAACAGATGTAGTTATCTGTAGTGTCCCAAACATATCATTGTTAGCCCTACCATCACTGGAAAAAAAAGTCCTCTTTGTAGGGTCCTACTGCCAACATCTGTCTTCATTTGTTCCTCAGCAATACTAGCCTGGTATGAGAAAATATCTTCTCACTTCTTCCCATTTGCTACTAAAATGGCCTGTTTAAGCAATGCCTACTTCCTGCTGTGACTTAAATATATCTTCAAGAAGGTTTTTTGGAAAAATTATTGCCAATGCAGATATATTTGTGTATATTGGTTGGGGGAGGACACAACCAGGATTTTTTTCAAAATCCTCATGTAAATCAGGGATCCCCTACATGCAAGAAGTGCTTGCCTTTAAAAAAAAGTCCATATATCCAACAGGTAGACCTAACAGCTTTTTAGTCTTTGGATATGTTAACAATTCCATAGTGATGTAAGACTGTAATGCTGTGAAGCTGTGGCTTTTGTATAAGAATAAGTTCCAGATATATATTAATTTAGGTAATGTTAAAGCTATAATAAGAATTAAGCCCATTTAATGAACTTTTGACAGGTGGCTCCAGAGTACAGAATCAATGGCAGACAGCCAAAAAGCAGCCACTTCAAACAAAAGTGTTAATCAAATATGGGGAAAACAGGTTAAATTTCTTACATTAGGACTGAGTGGCCTTGCACAAATCAGGCTCTTAGCTGAGGGACTGATGCAAGGCCGCTAATAAATCCTAGGCCGAGTACAATCTAAATAGTATCTTCCATATCCAAATTTAGCAATCCCAGGTTAGACTTGTTTATTACCTGAAATATATTATTTTGACCTGAACCTTGGTGGTATGAATTTTCCAGTCTGTTTTTTTTAAATGTCCATGCTAATTTTAGATTTCAATACTTGTTATCTTCACAAAAATAAAATCAAACCTTACTAGATACACAATCAATAACATTCTTAGATCTACAGTTGGTTTGTTAATCCAAACAACTGAATTAACTCAACTGCCTGTATTTACATAACAAATCAGTCAAACTCATTTGAACCTACAGTGTTGTGCAAACACAGCACTTGCTTCTTTCAAGAAAAAATAGTAGAACGGAAATAATATGGAATAGTTTGCACTGGAACAAGAAGGGATGTTCTTTTGATTTGTGCAACAATCTCTGGAAGCGATACCTTCTTTTCTAATTTTGCTGATTACTTATGGGTTGATGGTACTCAAACTTTCTGGTGCATGGGGGCGAGAAAACATACTTTTCCCACAATGGATTGCAACAGAAGCTCTCAGACTGTGGGTTACAACTTCCCAGAGATCTTGATGAACTTGGGAAAAGTATGATATTTTTTAAAGCTGATTAAACTGGAACAGGCAAAGCAGGGAGCAAAGCCCCAAGAGACGGGGGAGTTAACCAAACCTCTGGGTATAGGGATCCACTAAAAAAAATACAGCAATCACAGTAGTTTCATTTATTATTCAGTTTTATTTATTGAGGGGTCACCCATATGCATTTTTAGGGGTCACATTATCACACAAATTAAGTACCTGTGGATTATGGACATTTATCTTCAAACCCATTCCACTCCAACAGTTAGACACCACCAGTGAAAGTCCAAGATAATTACCATGTGACTGGAATATAAAAGAGCGAGAGTATGGGCAGCTTTAGGTATTGCAAGAAATTACATACAAGTGACTGCACTGGAATTTTCTTTTCTTGCACTTTCTATGCAACCATCATCTTTATATATAAAGATGGAGGTTTAAGAATGTGTACGTAATTAAACACAAGGTGTCACTTTAAAAAGCCACACATACTATTGATCAAATTATGACAGTATGACAGAAACAGAAATATGTCTATAGTTAAGCAACCTATGTGGATACAAAAAGTTGGATCCATATTTTGGTGTAATTAAGAGTAAAGACTGACTGAAATGATACTATACTCTTATAGCACACTTACATATGGTTAACTAAACAATTTAATCCTATCTAAATTAATTCAATTTTTTAGATACACATAACACACTGAATTTCATACAACATGCCTGGTTAAAATATAATTTGCTAGTCAATAGTTTTGTGTATCATGTGAACAAACATGAGTTAGGACTGTTTTAAGTCAACTGCTTTGAATTACTTCTGCTTTAAGGATGATTAAATCAAGAACCATCCCCAATTAAATTTTAATTTTCTCACACTAACTAAATGTAACTAAGAAATAGCTGTCATGCAGAACATGAATGGGTCATTCTCAAATGCTCTTTTACTGCAAAATACAACTAAGAGCAAAGGCTTAATTTCCCTTTGAAATAGTAATAATTGATTGCTTCTTCTTGAAATGCCCAGAAATAGTGAATGAACATAAGCAACACTTTTGAAGTCTTTTATTTTAAAATATACTAACATAAGACAGAGTTCACTAAAAGCATTGAGTATAACCAAAATGTAGAATCAACAGTTTCCATTTTGGAATGCAAGAATGTTTGTCTTCTAGGCAGAACAGTCATAACACTCCTTAGAATACACCACACTAACGGCCAAATAGGAACACTTTATTACAAGCCTAGGAAATGAAGAACAATTCCAATACATATGTGCATACATACATAGCAGCAGAACACTATTATACTAATTTGTGTGCAAAATATAGGTTGCATGATGTTACAAGTCATTCCTAAATTGACCAGACTCACTTACTGCAATGGAACTGTTAAAGCAACACCCTGACTTTCTGAAGTGTGGTTTAGGAAGGCTTAAATAGGCAGATGGCAGTGGGCCTTGGACTGCAGTTCAGAAACCAAGATCAGAAAAGATATTAAACACAAAGGGTGAAGCAGGCCCATGCTGTTTGATTTTGCACAATTATCAGAAAAGAGGTGATACAGTTACAATTAAATAAAAGCAAAGCCTTTAACAGAAACCTAATTGGCTCTATTAAAGCTAGTACCAAAAAAAGTAACCCATACAGTAAAACGATATAATCCAAAGCATTCAACTCATGCAGGAGTTGTTTCCAACGAATTCCACGTAAGAGGAATAAGCACAGATAGGAATGAGATAATGACATACGGTAATGCTATGTATGCTGCCTGGAGTGCCTGGAAGAAAGATGGGATGTAAATATAAATCAATAAATAAGGCTAACTGAACTCTCTGTTGCTATATTTTCACTACTGCCTTATGAGAGACCTGCCATGGGCCTTTTTTGCACCTTTTCAGGTTCTTCTTAATGGTGGCATTTCTTTTCACCCAGAGTTCTCCATCCAGACTTGGCCTCTTTCTCTAGAACAAAGGCCAATCTCAACACAGAAAAAGAGAATGGCCCAGAACTGAATACTTACCTACCTACCTTCCATCCATCTCTCCCATCCCATCGCCAGTGCACAAAATTACCAAGGTCATATCCACGTTCTTCAGCAAACAGCACACCCTTCTTTCAAAAAAAGCTACTAATTAGCTGGGACTCCTGCGAGAATCTTACGCACACGGATCATTCATTTTAGCCAGTGAAAACCTAAGCTGCAAAATACAAGACGCATTGCGTTTGAGACGCCGCAAGACACTGTCCACCTCCAAAGAAGTAGCGTTTTAAAACTGCGCGCAATAAGGATTTTCTCCGACGTTATGGGCCTATTTGTCTGTAAGAGATGTAGGTGCCTGCCGGAAGAGTCCCATCACGGCTCTTTGGCTATTAAGCAAACGATCCGCGCTGCCCACCTCGCCTCTCCCGCAGGGACCCGGAGGAGGAGGAGGAGGAGGAGGAGGGGTGGGAAGGAGACGTGACACTGACTCAGCCAGCAAGAGGGACTTACCCAAGAGCTGCGCTGGGACACGCCGCCGGTTTTTGTACACGCCAGGATGACTCCCTCTCCACGCTGCCGGGCAGCCGCTGATCACGCGTGACCCCCGCTCGCCCATTGGCCCGAGCCTCACACACCTTTGTAGGTGATTGGCCGGTTCTGCGCCCGCCTTCGCCTACGCTAAGCTGGGGAGACACCACCTGAATGGGGAGCTGCCCGCGAACAAAAAGAGAAAAATAAAAGCGGCACCGAGCTCAGAGCGCCCGGGGCGGGGAGGGGACGGTGCTTGTCAATAGCTGCAGCCCGCTCGTTCAGCATCCGTCCGCCGCCTGACGCTGCAGGCTTTCCGCCGGAGTCATGCTAAATTTTGGGGAGTCTGCTTTCCAGCACGCCGTAAGTACTGCTCTGAGCTGGTTGGGAAAAAATCGCTTTTCGGAGCAGGATAAACAAACAGCTGGGAGAATCTTGTTTTCGGGACGGAAGGAGGTGCACAAGGCCAATCTGTTCAGAAAGGCGGCGCAGGAGGAGGTCTTATACATACCTCCCTGCGAAGCGTGTAAAAAACGGGCTTTCGGGGAGAGCGTAAGAAGCCCCTCGGAGGGAGACGGGAGGCGGCTCGCACGCCGGGCCACGGTGGGGAGCCTGCGGGGTTAGAGCTCCAGGATGGCCGCGGGACAAGTAGAGCGATCTATTTCTGACAAAGGGGGGTGCGCCGCAAAATGGGGTGCAGTGGGGACGAGCACAAACGTTGCTAGGCAACCCGCTGGAATTGGCAAAGGGATTAAAAGCAAACTTTGCTGGAAACTGGGGGTCCGGGAGACAGAGAGAGCCCCCAAGGGGCGAATGGAGAGCCCTGGGAGGGCACGAGGGAGAACGGATCGGTGCCTTGCACCGGAGGCGGGCAGCTCGGGGTCTGGCGGGCCGGGAGACTCTTGAGGAACGACGATGGGGAGAAGGGGAAGGCGCTCGGTTGAGTTCAGCTAGCCATGGACGGGGTGGGGGGCGAGACGAGAGGGCAGCTAGGGCTGGTAGCCGCAGGGGCTGCTTCGGGAAGCGAAGGCGGGCAGGGCGGCAGCCTCGGAAGGCCGAGGCGTGACAAGGGCGGACGGCCGCTCAAAATAGCCCCGGCGAGAGGGAGGGAAGGGCCGTGAAGTCAGCGCGGGTGGCGAGGCCGAGCGGGAAACCGGAAAGCCGAAGGGGAGGGCGGGGGCGGTTTTGGCGTTAGCCGGGGAGGTCGGAGCGGGTCAG